AATATAACAGAAATTGTGCATCAAATCAAATTTATCTCAAAATTTAAAAGAATTTTTTAAATTAGTAATATTTATTTTTTATACTTTCTATTTAATACAAAATGTATTTGAACATTTATATTTTATATGAATTACATTTTCCACCTAAAATATTAAAACTTGAAAATTTAATCTTATTTTTATGTTGATGCTTATAAGATTTTAATTAAGATTTATAAGAGATGAAATATTAGAGTAATATTCTTATATAAAATGTTTAATTTTTTAGCCATGCAACCACATGATATCTTCATCAAAATCTGCTATTCCAATGATATCTGATCAGTCTTCCTCAATGCAACTTAGCAATGCTTCAAAACAAATGGCATATGCTTTGGCTGAATTAAAATTAGCTATTGGAAAGGTAATAAACGTTTGATCTATTATAGAATTAATTTATGAAAAATTATATTTAGTTTTTTAATGTAGGCTAAAGATTCCTGCAGCAATCATGAAATAAATAACTCATTAGATATAATAAGAGGATTAAATGCAGAATTAGAAGCATTTAGAAAAGCTGCTCTATCACATGAATTAAAACCACTACCTGGAGAAATGGTAAATATGATTATGTATATGATAATATGTATTTAAATTATCTATATTTTATACAGCTATTATTTAATTATGAATGAAATCCTTTTTTTAAAATTTTTAATATTAGAAATATGTGAACAAAATTAAAATTTCATATTAACTGTCTTTGATTTTTGTAATATAAATATAATTTTGAATTTTTGAAGTAGAGAAAAGTGGGTAACAGTGAGATACTTGTACTTTTTATTTTATTTATTTTAATACTATAATAGTTTAATGTTATGACTGCTTAAAACAAAATTTAACATAATTCAGAAATGGACAGCACTCATCATTTAGTAGGAGAAACTTCTTAACATATAGGTGTTAAATTACAAATACATTTATTTGTAATTTAACGCCTATATGTTAAGAAGTTTCTCCTATAAAATTTAACATACTTTTGCAGCATAATATCATACATTACATTGTGGCATCTTGTATGTTTCCTGTTCTATAAATATTAGTTTATGTACCTGAAATTTTCTCACTGTTCCCCACAAATGAGGTATTGTGAGATAAGCTTAAAAATTTCTCAGAAAATTATTTTTATTATACTTTGTTTTACTTGTTTTTTACTTCTTATGTTTACTTTTTATGTTAAAATTTTTATATTTTGGTTTATTCTATTTACTTTTATATTATTAAACTTTGATTTAGTCTATTTTTACTTTGTTTTATTTCAATAACAAAAAAATGCTTTTTCCTGAAAAATTTGAAGTCACATGTTATACAAAAGCATGGGTATCTCCACTATTTGCTGTGATGATATTTTTACCATTAGGCTTTACATAGTATCTGAATATAAAGTTTATAAATACAAAAAGAAACCTTATTAAACAAACAGAAAACCTACCTTACTTTTCCACAATACTTCCTTATATAAAGCAAGAAAAGAATACAGAATTATCAAATCAAAAAAATTCCTTGTCAAAAAATGTGCTACTTTACAATAAAATGATGATAATTTAATGGCAGCAGTTTACAAACTGGACTGTTTTCTCTGCTTAATAGCCATGTTTCTGCACAGAGAATACTGGTCTATAACAGAGATGTCCAGCCCATGGGCCACGCTGTGGCCCACTTAATATTTTTATATGGACCCATTGTATCCTAAATTTTTTAGGTATACAGTAGAGCGTCATTTATCCGAATCAATTGGGGACTGAGGTTGTTCGGATAACTTATTTATGTACGAAAAAATATACTAACCTATCCCATGTTGAAATTTTTCTCCGTTGCGTGTCGCTTCGTGTTGAATTTTCGTCGATGTTAATCCTAACGTAAAGTTTTTAAAATAATAGTCGTGGCTATTGTATCGTTAAAAATTATTTCTTTATTTTGTACAAACAAAATAAATATATTGAAAAATATAAAAACCAAAAAAAAAATATACTTTAGGAGTTGATCTAGTATCAAAAACGTTCGATTCAGCATGACATATAGTCCTTAGAAAAACATCACACAAAAGTGCCAGTGCTACCAGCTAAAACACACTTTAACAAAAAAAATATTGGAGTAGCCCAAGATATAGCCAAAGATTGCAGCGCCACAGCACTAGCGAAAATTTAAATTTGCCAACAGGAATTTTTTCAGATAAACGATGCTCTACTGTATTTTCATTTATTTTGGTAAAGTATGTTGTAAAACTTATTCTTGTTTCACTGGATGTCATAATGATGTAATTGGTGTTAGAAAACTGTTTTATCTAGAGAACTGTTATGCATGTGGGATAGTACATACTGTTATGAACAATTCTTTTCTTGCATTAAAAACATCAAAACTGTTGAAAGAAATAAGTTGAGTGATTTCCATTTAACTAACATTCTTAGAATTAAGACTAGTATCATAAAAGCAGATATTGACAATATTATAAAAGGAAGGCAATGTCAAAAATTGCATTGAATTTATTTTTATTTTCTGTAAATATAATTTTTTTTTGTTGTCAATAATATAGTATTTTTTGTAATAATCTATATTTGTTATTCAAATTTGATATTCACATTTTGAACTTTTTAAAAGCATATATATATATAAATGGACATCTGTGTCCCTATATTTCACTTTTCAGCCAAAACTACACATTGCACATGAATGGTATTTGTATGTGGTAGTAGCCTCAAGTCTCCATTCGTGCACTATGGTGGTTGTGTCTCGATAGCTATAATGGTGCGGGAGATATGGGGGCTTAAAGTGGTTGACTTCGAAGATTTTCTATTTCGATTTTAAAAATGTTCGAACCGTTTTGAATTTGAATTTAAATTTGAATTGGTTCGATTATAGAACGATTGTAAATGTTCAGAAAATTGATTAAATTGAAAATAGTTTGTTTGACTGAACGTAAAAATTCTCTAATTAGTCTGGAAACAGGGGACCTAATTCTTGCATTCTGTGCTATAAGGGTGTGGGAGATATGGGGTTGAAAGTGGTTGACTTCGAAGATGTGTAACAATGGAAGTGTTAACAGTGGAAGTGTTGAGTAACAAAGGAAGTGTTAATATAAAGCAGCATGCAAGATTTACAGGCGGTTTTTTGCGTTTTTGCGGGAAATCGAACATATTTTTAGACTCATGTAAAAATTCTCTAATTAGTCTGGAAACGGGGGACCTAATTCTTGCATTCTGTGAAAACGGGTAAGATTGGCTATAATGTAATTATCTTAATCTTCACTATCGTTACTTTTTGCCCACAAATAAAAACCCAGTGAAGCAGGTCCTTGCAGCTAGATTCTAGATTACAGTCTTTTATATATAAAAGAAACTATATTACATTCAAATAAAAACCCAGCGAAGCGGGTCCTTCAGCTAGTATTTATATAAAGTACCTTTGTGGCTCTCTGAATATACCTAAATTTCTAATTTGGCCATTAGGAAAAAAGGTTGGACAACCCTGGTCTATACACATGGTTTTATAGAAAATTTGAATGTATCATTGTTACCCATATCTCCTAATTAATCAGAATGCTCTTCATATAAAAGAGATTATAGTTTTTGAATATTTATTCTTCTTATTAATGGCTTATAAATTTCCAAATGATTCAACTTCTTAATGAAGAGTTTTACAAAATTTAGAATATTAAATTCTGAAATTATTTATCACAATTTTTACTATGATTTCTAGAGTGAATCATGTGCTCTTCAAGTTGGTGCAACATGTAAGATTGTTGGATCCTCTATGGCACAACTGTTAACAGCTGCTTCTCAGGTTAGAATAAAGTAATTTAATTATATTATCTTAAAGTTTAGTTTTAATTAAGAATTTTTTAAAAATTCAGAATTAGCTTAAAATTATTTGTTGCTGTGATTTTAGAATAATGAAAATTACACAGGAATTGCTGCAAAAGATACTGCTAAAGCTTTAAAAGTATTAACAAGTGCAGTGAGAGGCGTTGCAGCAACTAGTGATGACTTAGATGTGCAGCTTAAAGTCATTGATAATGCTCATGATGTAATGGATAAATCAATACAGTTAATTGAAGAAGCGCACAGAGCTATTCAAAATCCTAGCAATCCTGATAATCAGCAACGTCTTACTCAGGTTAAGTATTATTTTATTTTTTATGCTGAAATGTAAATCAAATTATCAAAGTTTGATGATTAATATTTTATAATTGACTAATAGCATTATTAGCTAGTTGTATTTATTTAGCTTTCTGAATGAAATATTAAACAATAATTTTTTTAAATTATAAATTTTCGTCTATAAACAAGCATTTACTATTATCAGGACTTATTATACTGGCTTAACAGACAATACAGAGTTTCACAGAAAACAATTTTTATTTAATATTTAATATACCTGTCCATGTTTTCTGTTCTCTGCAATTTCTAATACACCAGAATTTCGGCTAAAATGATTATTAAAATTATAGCTTAACAGACAATACAGAGTTTCACAGAGAACAATTTTTTTTGTCTGTTAAGCCAGTATAAGTCCTGATAATAGTGAATGCTTGTTTATAAACGAAAATTTATAATTTAGTAAGAGAAGGACATTGAGGCATTTTAATTAAATTTGGATAAACTTTTCCTATTTTACATTTATCACCAGTTTTCCTGGTCCGTATAGTTATATTGTGTTAACGTAGA